GAGGCCTTCTGGCTAGGCCCCGTTCTCAATAAACGGGAGTTTTTTTCTGATGGTGCGTCTGCACAGAACAGTGCAGGAGTCAGCACTACTTGTGCCTAAAGTCAGTAATCCTTCGGCAAAATAATCTCAGATGCGCAGGCGGTATGATGCAAATGATTCGAAGTCAGCCTTAGCGAATCTTCCATCATATGTGTACACGAGGTTTATTTGCTTAAAACCGTCCTCAGAAACGTATTGCCGGGGCCTGAATCGATGTTGCACTAGTCTTTCTTCTTTGACATTTGGAGAGGTTTGTTATGCAAGAAAGGAAATACGTCATCGAAGGCCAATCATCATTGCTTGCCTGCCAGCTATCGCGTAGTATTAAGACTGTCCACTGTCTTACCATCCCCTGTTTCTGGGTTCGGCGACTCGTTTTGCGAAAATCATGAACTGTTACCTTTGCATGATCCCTGATCTTTATCGAAAGTTCCGAGAAAGTCTATGTGACCAATCTGTCAAAAGGAGTGTTATTCAATAACGAATTCTTAAAATCCTCGTCATTTGATTGAAAGCAGGCGTGGCTGCAGCCAAAGCAAGCAAAGCATATTTCCACTAATATCTCTTGTGTTGTTGTGACGTCATTTGATGCGGCTTACAGACATGCATGGCAGAGTATGTTAACTCACACAATATGCGGAACCACGCATGAGCGCTGCCCAATCAGTTTTTTTGTGTGTAAATTTCAGACCTCGGTGGTGGCGGAGGAGGATATGGTGGAGGTGGAGGAAAAGGACACGGAGGAGGCGAGGAGGACATGGCGGAGGTGGAGGAGGATATGATGGAGGTGGAGGAGGGCATGGAGGAGGAGGAGGGCACGATGGAGGAGGCGGAGGAGGATATGATGGAGGCGGAGGGAGGGAGGAGGACACGGAGGAGGAGGAGGACACACTGTAGGAGGCGGAGGAGGATATGGTGGAGGTGGAGGAGGCACGAAGGAGGCGGAGGTCACGATGGAGGAGGGGAGGAGGATATGGTGGGGTGGAGGAGGACACGGAGGAGGCGGGAGGACACGATGGAGGAGGCGGAGGACACGATGGAGGAGGCGGAGGAGGATATGGTGGAGGTGGAGGAGGACATGGAGGAGGCGGAGGACACGATGGAGGAGGCGGAGGAGGATATGGTGGAGGTGGAGGAGGTCACGAAGGAGGCGGAGGACACGATGGTGGAGGCGGAGGAGGATATGGTGGAGGTGGAGGAGGACACGAAGGAGGCGGAGGTCACGATGGGGGAGGCGGAGGGGGATATGGTGGAGGAGGAGGAGGACACAACGGTGGCGGAGGCGGAGGAGGGTATGGCGGAGGCGGTGGAGGGCACGGAGAAGAAGGCGGAGGCGTATATGGTGGAGGTGGAGGAGGACACGGAGGAGGCGGAGGACACGACGGAGGGGACGGAGGAGGATATGGTGGAGGTGGAGGACACGGAGGAGGCGGAGGACACGATGAAGTAGGCGGAGGAGGATATAGTGGAGGTGGAGGAGGATACGGAGGAGGAGGAGGAGGGCACGGCGGTGGGGAGGCGGAGAAGGATATGGCGGAGGTGGTGGAAGACACGGAGGAGGAGTGGGAGGAGGCGGAGGATACTCAGGTGGAGGAGGAGGAGGACATGGTGAGGAGGAGGGGGAAGCAGTCTCAGGAAGTGGAGGAGGAGGATATGCGGTGGTGGAGGAGGAGCGGAGGACACGGAGGAGGAGGGGGGGAGGATATGATGGCGGCGGAGGAGGAGGCGGAGGATACTCAGGTGGAGGAGGAGGAGGACACGGTGGAGGGGGAAGCGGCTTCTCAGGAAGTGGAGGAGGAGGATATGGTGGTGGTGGAGAGAGGAGGCGGAGGACACGGAGGAGGAGGGGGAGGATATGATGGCGGCGGAGGGAGGAGGCGGGGATACTCAGGTGGAGGAGGAGGAGGACATGTGGAGGGGGAAGCGGCTTCTCAGGAAGTGGAGGAGGGGAGGATATGGTGGTGGTGGAGGAGGAGGCGGAGGACACGGAGGAGGGGGGGAGGATATGATGGCGGCGGAGGAGGAGGCGGAGAATACTCAGGTGGAGGAGGAGGAGGCTATAGTGGAGGGGAAGCGGCTTCTCAGGAAAGTGGAGGAGGAGGATATGGTGGTGGTGGAGGAGGAGGCGGAGGACACGAAGGAGGAAGCGGATATGGTGGAGGTGGAGGAGGAGTGGAGGGGAGAGGTGGAGGATACGGAGCAGGAGGGGGAGGGTATGATGGCGGCGGAGGAGGAGGGCGGGGGATACTCAGGTGAAGGAGGAGGAGGACACGGTGGAGGAGGAAGTGGCCTCTCAGGAAATGGGGGAGGAGGATATGGTGAGACGGTGGAGGAGGATTCTCGGAGAGGAGGAAGGGGAAGCGGATATGGTGGAGGCGGCGGAGGTGGATACTCAGGAGGTGGAAGCGGAAGTGGATACTCAGGAGGTGGAGGTGGAGCCGATATCGTTGTAGGTGAGCTTGACCATATTGCTATGGAAAGCCTAGGTGGCATTGGTGAACCCAGTTTGCCTGGAAAATTTACGACTTGTTATGCAGTGGCCTCCTCACAGGTGGCTCTCATGGGGTTTTCCTGCAAAACTCAGCTGGCTTTTAGCACCATCACGCGTCATTAGCCCAACCGGATATTTGAGGAACCTTGAAAACACTCAATGACGCAGGTGGTCCACCACGCCACATCGCAACACTGACCACGACCTGACCTTGTCTCAGGGTACGGAACCGCGCCGGCCCCCTCCTCCGGCTACTCAGCGCCGGCTGGTGGCGATTTCACATCGCCGTCGGCCTCCTACGGCGCTCCGGTCAGCATGTACATTGTGCCGGCGCCCGATCTCAGCCAGGGGCCTACCGGCGGATACAGCGCCCCTAGCGGCCAACAGGTAAGTGGAGTTTCGTATAGTTGATGGGCGAGGTCACTAGTGTCAGTTGCTGGCGTGCGGTCATCAGACGTTGGGAATGTTCGCTGTTAGCTTAAATGTGTGCTTTTCGGATGTTCTCTCTTTTCCAATGAGCGATTTCGTGAGGCTTCTGAAATAAATCGTAAATAGGTACAAATTTCTGGTCAACCCGATGGCGGAAAGTTTGTGTACATTGTGTACCTCACGCCGAAATGCTTGTTTTGTTGCAGGGGAGTGTGGGGCAGACCTACGGCGCTCCGTCTGCAGGCGTTGGTCAATCCTACAGTGGCCCATCCCAGTCGGTAGGGCAGTCCTATGGCGCTCCGTCTGCAGGCGTTGGTCAATCCTACAGTGGCCCATCCCAGTCGGTGGGGCAGTCCTATGGCGCTCCGTCTGCAGGCGTTGGTCAATCCTACAGTGGCCCATCCCAGTCGGTAGGGCAGTCCTATGGCGCTCCGTCTGCAGGCGTTGGTCAATCCTACAGTGGCCCATCCCAGCCGGTTGGGCAGTCCTATAGTGCTCCAGCGGTAGATGTTGGTCAGTCTTATAGTGCACCGTCTCAGTCAGCGGGACAATCCTACAGCGCACCATCCCAGCCAGCGGGACAATCATACAGCGCTCCACCCCAGCCAGTGGGACAATCCTACAGCGCACCATCTCAACCGGTGGGACAGTCATACAGCGCACCATCCCAGCCAGCGGGACAATCCTACAGCGCACCATCTCAGCCGGTGGGACAATCATACAGCGCACCGTCCCAGTCAGCGGGACCGTCCTATACAGGACCATCCCAGCCAGCGGGACAATCCTACAGCGCACCATCCCAGCCAGCGGGACAATCCTACAGCGCTCCATCCCAGCCAGCGGACAATCATACAGCGCTCCATCCCAGCCAGGGGGACAATCCTACAGCGCACCATCCCAGCCAGCGGGACAAACCTACAGCGCACCATCCCAAGCGAGTGATTCTCTCAGCAAGCCGCAGCTGGTCGGTGTAGTCTACAGTGGAGCGACGTCGCCGGCGGCCAACAACTACGTGGACGTGGGAGGGGGCTCCGGGGCCGGCCCGGGTCAGGAGTACTCCGCGCCTCAGCCCCAGCCGGCGACGGGCCCTAGCCAGGACTACAGCGTGCCGCTACAGCAGCAGGTGAGTGAGAACGCACACCGAGAGCCATGCTTATGATGTTATCCTTATGATGGCAAGCCATGTAACTAATGACATTAAGGATAGTGTCGAACAGCTTATTAATGTAATAACGATAATGATACAATGATAATTATTATACAAACATGATAATGATGTTGATGATGATGATCATGTAATGACGATGAACAACTGATAATATATCAGCGATGTAATGCTCATTACGTATGATGCAAAACGACATTCGTGATTAAATGAAATTATTCAAATAATGGTTGCCATGATAATGTGAAATAATGCAAACGATGATAATCATGAAAATGCCACACAACATGAATCATGGCAATCAAAATAATGTCAAATAGTGCGACTGATGAGATGAAGCTCAGGTGTATCTGGAGTGTCGCTTTTATATCCTGTCAGTTAAAAGTGTAGTTTCCGTGTGGTTTGAGTTGTGATGGGCTGTAGGGAGGGTAGGTTCAGTTTGCGGTGTGGTTTGAACAGGGATGAGGAGAGGTGGTGGAAAAATCGGGGTGTACTTAGGATGTATCTGAGATGGCATAGCATTACGACGTGTGCACGTTTGCGCGTTGCGCAGGTTTGCTTGCGCACGTTGGAACGTTTGAATGTCCCTGATAGGGGCCCTCACAGACCCGCGTAGTGCCTGCGTTTGCGACCATATCGTGAAAAGAGGAGTAGGATTTCGATGCTGAGACCGGCACGCGATGTTAAGTCGCCGAGTGATGCCTGGTCTGATACTGAGATAACGTAGCCGATACCACGAAACGTGTGCCTGCGCTGAGGACATCATAAACTGGTACAAGCATCGGCACAGCGACACCTTTGTTTCCGGGCTCGCGATCGTGCGTGACCCTGGGCTTTTATCCATAGGCGCGAACTTTTAGTTTGGATTACCATTGACAGGTAGCGTTACTGGCGTCCAACCTTCCTACCGCGCTCGCCCAGAACGACTACGGACCGCCGTCAGATGCCGTCAAAATACAGGTTTGTACCAGCCCCTGGCATGAGGAAGGGCTGTTGTAATGGTGAGAGAAAGGAGAGAAAGGTGACAGAGCAACCTCTGTGTCTATGGCAATCAAGCAAGGACTATCAATGGGCTGTCAAAGTTTGCCGTGTCTGAATGCTGAGTCTGTGCGATTTTTGTATTCGTTTCCAAAAAGATGCAATATATTTAGAGCGTGGAAACATTCGAAAACCGATGCCATCATGGGGAAATGTGTTCAGGCCAGTCTTGATATGTTCAACGCTGTGGTATAGCGCTGAGGGCAAGAAAGGTACTCGGAATGCATGCTGCCCAGCGGGTAGGTGGGAGATGGGCAGTTGGCAAAACAAAAAATGAGCCTCTCGATCATCCCGGAAGCCATGTATTTTTATGCTCGTGGCCATAAGCGTCACAATTATTCCTAACAACTTTTCGGTAACCCAAAAGAAGCACATAAAAATGCCATTTTTATTATTTCAGGCTCCGATCACCACGCAAATCGACAACACTTTAGTGCGAAACACGTTACCGAACATCGGCTTGGACGGAGCGCCACCTATCGGGGATGTTGGCGTCGCAACCTACCAGTGACGGCCGTATCAAGGTGAGGACGCCACCAGCCCCACAGTGCGCTCTGGCATCGACATACAGCAGCATGGGATTAAAACCTTGGTGAAAATGATGGACACCCATCATGCAAATATCTAGATATGAAGGTATCGGTTTTATGTTGAAATAAGGGTAGGTGGTCTGCTACCAGTAGCCGGCGCTAAGGGAAACGTGGGCAATTCAGCTCAGAAGGGGGATTTTGGGTCACTAGTCCCAAATAATTTAAAGCCATAACAGACACCGGATAACACACGCACATAGAAGAAGAACAAACGCACACATAAACTTTGTAACTTGCAAGACTAAGATGCTTGGGGCATGCGTGTTCCAAACACAACGAAGTCGTAAACTGTGACGACACTGGACATGCTGGCTAATAAATACGCTGCTAGTCAAATACTCTTTAACGTGCATTGTTTTATTTGAGGGCGTGATGATAATCATCTGTGTTGTGCTAGTGGTCGTTTACTTAACAGAATTGTGGGTGCTTCATTTCAGTGCCGTGGCATAAACTGGTACGTCGGGTGCATTCTCCGTTAGAAAGTATTCCGCCCGTACGGGCCACCTCAAGCAGCGCGGAGTCGCCACCGTCACCATGGTTACCACGAGTGATGCTGCCCGAATCCGTCTCGAACAGTGTGGAGGCAAGATTGTCGGCCCCGGCGCCATGACTGCCAGTGATTTTCGAGCGGATTTGCCAGCAGATGATTGGCGGTCTGCTCTCGCGCGGTCGCAAAACATGCCGAGGTTATTATTGCCGTGCGCGCGTGCCCGACAGTCATTGCATGCCGATGAGACTGGAGATGGTTTGTGTTTGCCAACCATGTGTATCGAACTTATCGTGCTAATATTGATTAGAATGTTACCTGATTTGTGAGGCATGTGGGGAGCAGTGGGCTTTGTTTATGAATATGTTGTTGATGCCACCTCGATTTGGAAAACACTTTCCTGATATGGAGCATTGCATCACATCGCTGACGCAACCAGTAGTCTTGCTTTGATTCA